GGACAGGTTGTCTTAGTAAAATAAATAGTTATGAGCGTTTTTGTACGAACGATTTTTTAGTTACTTTTTTGTGCAATGGATTTGCAGAAAGAGTTTTTTTGGATTTTTACTTCTTTGCTTTTTAGACATCATAACAATAGAACTTCTAAGGCATTTCTGAGTAGATCTGTCAATTTTGCTATATATTTTCTTTAGTTTTCTCTTGCTTTATAGTTTTCTTTTCTTCTAGTTACTTATACTAGTTTGCCAGTATGGCCCAAAAGATGTTTACCTCTCTGGTTTCTTTTAGTTGCACTATTGCTAGAGCTTTGTACTTTGACCTTTTAATTCTTACTATTTGGGTATTCTTAAATCTTCTACAGATATATTTTAGCTCTTTTGTTAATATTTGATGGTAAGTTCTATATTGTTACACATTTACTGCCTTCAGGCTTCTTATCAATTTTATTGTAATTTATGTCTGCTTTGGTCTTATCATCTTTCTTGTTGTATATCTTTTCTTTAATTTTCATTATATTGTTTCTTTTTTTGTGGTTTTCTTTATTGTATACTTTTTGTTTTTCTTTTTAGTCTTCCCTTTCTTTTAATATTAGTTTGTACCAATCATTCTTCTTTCTGTTGATTCTTTGTATTACTTCATTTTTGCTATATTCATAGTCAAAGTCTACTTCAATTCACAAGTTTTCTTTTTTAAAGACTTTCTTGATTTTTTTAACATATTTATTGTCTTTTAGTAACCATCTGATGAATTTTATATGTTCTTCTAATATAGTATCTAGCACATTGTATGCTAGTATATTGGCAAGTAGACTATTATTTCAATTACAGTTTCTTCTATTTGGTGCTTATATACTGTCTTCAAGTAGTATTCTGATTATGTTAATTTTTTTTCAATTTTCAGATTTTTTTTTGTTCTGTTGTTTCTTCTTTAATCACATTTTGTATTGCATCTTTGGCTATTTTTGTTATCCTTTGTTCTTGCTCTTCTAGCTGTTCTTTGACTTTCTTTTCTTGAATAGATAGCTGTATTTCTGTTTGTTTGTTATTTATAAAACTTATCTCTGCATTTCTTTTTTTTTGAACAGTTATAGCATTTTCTTGTAGTTCTTTACTGTTTAGCTTCTTATTAGCTATATTCTTTTCTTATGTTGCTTTATGCAGATCTTCTTGTTTCTTTTTAATTACTATCTGCTATTGAATTTTTTTTCTTCTTTTGCTGTCACCTCTTGTGTTTGCTTTACTAAATCTAATTTTTTCTTTGACTGTTCTTTTTTAGCTTTTTTTACTATCTCTTTTGCTATTCATAAAAAAGCTACCTCATTTGAATCTTGCCTAGTGAGTATTATTACAATTCTATTCTTTTTATCTTGCACTATATATGTTTTGCTAGCTTTATTAAAAAAATGCTTATTATATACATTGCTCAATGCCCTGTATGCTCTTCTTATACAGATTGCTTTTATATTTTTTCTATACTTTTTAGACAAACTTTTATCTATTACTATATCTGTTCTTTTCTAGAATATTTTTCTATTTTATTACTATGTATTGGTTTGTCTATTTTGAATATAGTCATTTATATATATTTGTTATTATTGCTTAATATGATACATAACTTTTGTGCAATCTACTTTTAGGATCAAATGGCAATCTCCACAATTGTTGTTTTAATGCTAAAATTTTTCTAAAAACCTTGCTTTTCTCTTATAACTGCTCCAATATTACTGTGTTTCTTCTAGTTTCTAAGCTTGTTTAGTGTACTTTTTGTTGCTGCTTCTTTTAGCTTAGTACTGTTTAGGTGGTTTCTTATTGGTATTTATAAAAAAACTTTGTTTTACTTTTTTGTCGATTTTGTATCAAAATGATTATTAGAAAGAGTTCTGCAAGTTACTTGTTGTTTTTTAAAATAATTTTTATAAGCAAGATTGTTATTATATATATATATTTTTTTCTATTTAAAGCAGCAATTTTGCCTGTATATCTTTATTAAGTAACATATAATTATAAATTTTATATACAATAGTCTATCAATGAAAGTACATCTAGTTATATATATAACTTTAGTCATTATTTAATTAAAGGTTCTGCCTATAGGTTACTTACTAAATGCCATATCTAAGACCCACCTGTGAGTCTCCTATTTAAACTTTTTAATTTTCAATATGTATTGCATATATATACAATATCTACATTACTATTATTTTTTTTTTAAATATTAAGATAAGTACTTGCGACCCAGGATTTTATTGATAGTACATTCAACTAATGGTTGTTTTACAACTGCAGAGGGCAATTATAGAAAGAGTGTACAATTAGCTACTCATACAACTTTAGACATTGTCTAATTTAAGTAGTCTGCCTGAAGGTTCTACACTAGCTGTCATATCTGGAACCTGCTTGTAGGTTCTCTATTTAATCACTTTGTTTCCATATCCACCTACTTACCTACACCTACCAAGATGCCCTGATCAATACTGGTTCAAATATGCCATGATCACTAAGTCTTTAAAGTGGTTTATTCACATAGAGAACCTTTGACCTTGTACTAAACCTTCTAGAATCTTTTGTATTCCATTCTTACAACTGACCTGGTATCACTATAGCCAAGACCAATACTAGTGGTCAGGGCATACTATTAAACTGCTATGCCCTTGTAGAGTTCACCCCAACCCCAGTACTGACTTCACAACATATTCTTACTATTTTGGTATTCAATTCAAGTTCCATCAAGCTGCCATTCCAGATAGCCTAGAAAGGTAGATCGAAACTATGCACCTCTGGTTTACATGTTTGCCAGCATATATTTTTTTTCTCTGAAACCTGAAAATTCTGACAGCCTGGTTGGTTCATCTAGTCTCTTCTCAAAGACTGGCATGTTTGTCTGGTTTCACAAGTTCTAGCTCTGTTTTATAAGTCTAGTCTTTATAGTAGCACTGTTAAAAGTTCAGGTTACTTCTCTACTCAGGCCTTCCAAGTGGACTTTCATTTTTCTACCTGGTTCCCTTAATTTACACAGCCTAAGAACTTATTTTGAGTTCACACAGTCTGGTATTAGTTTGTGTTCCTTTGTACAATGTTGTATGAGTGCCTAGACCTTCCAGTCATGCTGATATGACACAGGTTATAGGTATTCTATCTCAACCAATTACGGAAGACAGTTAGCTATAATACAGAAAGAATTGCAAATTTTCACCATCACTGGGATTTGAACTCTAGACCTGCCACTTGGGGGTTGACAGCCTATTCACTTAACTAGGTCACTACACCCCCTACATTACTATTATTGTGATATCTTAGATTAGGATTATCTTAGTTATTATTTATATAGTATAGGACAGTAAAAGACATCCAATCTATACATATAGATGCCAATTTTTGGTGCTTATATAATTAATTATGATTGGCTAATTTTTGTGTAATTGATTTTGATTGGGTAAAAATATATGTATATATATATTTTTTTTTATATTAAACATCAATTTTTTAAACTCATATAAACTTTAATCCTTTATAACTTTTTTAAAACAAAGAATAAAAAATAATTCTCTGACAAAAATATAGTTTATCTAAAAATCTATCAATTTGTCAAAGATTTTTTGATTTAACCTGTTTTAAAAAAGTTATTACACTTCAAAGTTTTTATTAATAAACATTGGATGTCTTTTACTATCTGGTACTGTATCAAAGTATTACCTTATTGAATATTATTAAATATCTATATTCCTTCAAATTTACTCTTGATGCAAGCTTACTAAGCTGATATCAAAATTACTACTTAGATTTAATTTAGTGTATTTTATATCTACTAAACTAGTTTTAATATCAGAAGTGTTTGAATTTTAGTAAGTTTATTTCTTTTTCTGTAACTTTCTTTTATGTTTATCATATTACTTACTAGTATACCTTCTTTTTATTTCTAGTATATTCATTATATCTCTTATATTGAGCATCAACTCTTCATATCAGAAAACTTCTTTCCAGGAACTTTTTTATACATTGATCTTTTATTTATATAGACTTAGCTACAGGACTTCATGTACATTTATATGCTTTTGTAAATTACAAAGTTTTCATCTCTAGCTAGAATTGAATTGTTAATCTTGTCTGTAAAAGAAGAAGTGTCTAGACCATTAGACTATAGAACCTTATCTTCAAGATTGTTATTATATATTATTACAAAGTAGATTATTAGCATAGCATAGTATATTATATTATTAATAGTTATTATATATTTATTATTATATTTTATATTATATTTATTATTAGTTATTAGCATAGTTATATTATAATATATAATAGTTAGATAATAGGATCTTAATTGATAATTAGAAGTATGATACAAACACATAACATTGAGTAACATCTATAATGTTACTATTGTCTTACAAACCCCAAGTATCTTTATACAAGTTTCATGTATCTTAGTACAATTTACTATGCCAAATACTACAGTACAAGAATTCCAAGTATCTCTGCACAATCTCAAGTATCTCCAATACAATCTCTAAGTGTTCTTGCACAATCTTAACTGTTTTTGCACAAACTTAAATATCTTAATATAAGCTCCAAGTGTTTTAAGTACAAATAACAAATACAGATAAACATTGTCTTAACTATTCTTGTACAAACTCTACTTGCCTCTGCATAATTCCTACTACTCCAAGTATAGTATTAAGAAATGTTACTCAAACTATTTAAATAACCTATTTAATATAATTTAATTTAATTTAAACTTTTTAAAACATAAAACCAAATAGAATATATTAATTATTTAGCATAACTAATGCTCAATTACTACCAAAATGACCTAATGTTAAGATTGGAAGATTTTTGACTTTAAAAAATTTATTTAATTCTTCTATAATTCCATTGGCACTACAATCTTTTAATTTAATTAATCTAACAAATCAGTTTACTGGAATATTAGAAACAATATATTTGGATACAATAGCTAAGGTTTTTTCTTTAGTAACTGTATTGCTTTTATCAATCATTAAACTTCATACTGATGATTTATGAATCTCATGGCAAATCTCTTCTTCAATTACTTTTTCAATCACTTTAATAAAGTCTCTTCTAGTATGATTATTAGTATAAGAACCATAATCACTTCTTGTTAATTTTATAGCTTGTAATGCTAAAAGATTTTTTAAAACATTAATATTTGATGATATATGAAATTCTTGAGCATTTTGAAGTTGTTGATCGATAAGACTACAAAGATCAGTAATTGAATATGTAGCTATATTATATTGAATTAACCAATACATATTAATCATATTTCGTATAATATGAAGTTTGTCAATTTCAAACTGTTTTGTAAAACTAGTAACTATGTTTAATTGTACTACTGATTGTGTTTTTAAAGTTTTCCGATGATCTTTAGTATCAAGATGCCATTTGAGTAATTGTTCTTTAAAGTTGTCACACCTGCTACAAATATATTTGTATATTTAGCAGCTTCACACCATTTACAAAACATGAATTCTTTATTTTCTTTTTCTTCAATATATAACCAGGGATATGTAATCAACTAAGTTTGGTTAAATTTAAGGTTTTCTTTTAATAAATGTAGTGATTTAGATTGAGAATTTTCATAATTATTATTTAGAGAACTTGTAGTATTTATAGTATTTTCTTCATCTTCACTATCTGTTAATATATATCTATATCATTTTTTTGTCTATGCTGCAATCATAAAAGGATTTGTAGTAGTAGGTTGGGCAACTTGTTTACCTTTACAAAAAAAAAGAAAATAGTTAAATTTCTAATAAAAAAAAAACATTATAAACATGCTTTAATACTAATTTAAGAGTAATTCTGCAGCTAACAATAAAAAGCCAAACATTTTAATGATGCCTGACAGACATTTAGTATATATATTAATTCATTTTATTTATTCATTTTATTTATTTATTTTATTTATTCATTTTATTTATTTATTTATCATTTTAGAGAATCAAAAGCTTTATATTAGCAATATACTAACCCAAATTCTTGTTACATACATATTTAATGGTATTTGAATTTTTTATTCTTTATCATTATTAAATACAAAATTTGTAAGTTATATATGTTTTAGTTCTGTGTAAAAATGTATCTGTTTGCTAATTACTATTTTTTGCTGAAACTCATTTAATATATCAAACACCTTTAGCAAATTTATTGAGGAAAAGCATAAGTTAATAAACAATCAAATAAAACTAGTAACCAAAATTTAAGCTAAAAGTTTAAAATAGTTACAGAAGAGAAAAGATAGGCTGCAAATTACTCAAAATCTTAAAAAGAAAAAGAGAATTAAGACTGCCATCAACTTATTCAGCTTTTTTCTGGCTTGGGTTTGTTCATATATAATGATAAGTTAAAATTATAGAAAAAAGTCATAACTTTATAAAACTTTAAAGCTAAAAAAAAAATCCTAATTAGTTGATGATAGCTCTAAATAGGTTGTTAAATACAATAGTGATAGCAGGGCTAAAACTTAATTACAAAGATTCATTGTACTAATATTGATGAAACATTCAGTTATATATATAGTGCTAAAAAAAGTATAATTTGATATGCTTTACAGAAAATATTGTCATTTATTATATTTATTAGTTAATAATTTTTAATATAAATTAAAACATGATTGATTATATTTTCCATAAAGCATAACAAATTATACTTTTTTTTAGCACTGTACATATATATAATTGTAATCTAAAAATTATTTCACTTGCGAGAACTCAAAATATATGCAAGAGCCATTTCTATTCAAACCTCTGTTTACATTGTATGTATGACTGTTTTGCTGTATTAATATTGATTCTACTATTAGAGACAAACTATGCTCTACAAATACACAGGCATATTTCATTATATATTCGAATATTACCTGATATATAAGGGTTATCTCAATAATACTTGACTTTTCTTTATTTGTTGATTCAATCAATACTTTATATTCGACCACAATACATTGAACATTTGATAATACTTCAAGGTAGCTGCAGTTTATTAGGCTTTAAAACAATACTCAATAATAACACTAAACACTAAATAAACCAATGCTTAGTATGTTAAGCAAGATAACAAAAAAACAGATATAAGACATTTATACCTGATTTCTTCTTTCTTTAACAGTTATTTTAGGAGCATATATATAACATCAGGAATAAAGTCTTATACTGTTACAATTTTCATATTTTCTTTATATATATATTAATTAATAGTTTTTATGCCATTAGCAATTTAAATATTTTTATGAAGTAAATAAACTACATGCTAATAGAAATACTTAACCATCTAGTTAAACATATTAGTTTTTTTTTTTTTAAATATTAAGGTGAGTACTTGCAACTCAGGATTTTATTGATAGTACATTTAGCTAATGGTTGCATTACAACCACAGAAGGCAATCATAGAAAGAGTGTACAACTAGCCACTCATACAACTTTAGTCATTGTCTAATTTAAGTAGTTCACCCGAAGGTTCTACACTAGCTGCTATATCTAGAACCTGCTTGTAGATTCCCTATTTAGCCACACTGTTCCTGTATCCACCCACCTACCTACACCTACCAAGATGCCCTGGTCAATACTAGTTCAAATATGGTTAAACATATTAGTGAATGAATAGAAAAGTAATTCTTAATAGAAAATTCTATTGATAATAAAATAGTTAGTTTATTTTATAAGTAAAGTCCAGAAGTCTATACTTATTATCTAGTTTAACACATAAGTAAATAAACAAAAAAGCAATATTTAATAATGAATTCTATTGATGATAAAAGGAATAATTTATTTTAAAAATTAACTCTATACTTGCTTCTTAGTTTAAGTGTAAGTAAAGAACCAGAAAAGTAATATTAGTAGAGAACTCTAGTAATGATAAAATAAGTAGTTCAGTTTATTAATACAAATTCTATTCTTACTGCCTAGTTTAATATGTAAGTAATAAATAGAAAAGTAATGCTTAATAAATTCTGTTAATGAGAAAATGAGTAATAATGTTATGATTGTCATATAAGTGCTGCCAAGTTAAAACCTATAAGTCATGTTTTATGCAATTAATAGTTTTTACCTTTCAGAATTTAGTTTCTAATAGTATTAAATAACACTATTAGAAATTATCAAATATGTAAAAACACAACTTGCAAATTTTAACTTAGCAAATCAATCATGTTTATAATAAGGAAAGACAGAGGATAAAGATCTTAGAGATAAGGCATAATGACGAATAAGCATTTTAATTGACCGATTATATCTGTATGACTAAAATGCAGAGGTACAATAGGGCTCTAAACATTAAAAACAAGTTATACACTATTTCGATTTTAATTCAACTTATAGAAATACCATAGTATATATATATACTATTCTTGATAGCTTTGACTAAAAATATAAGGCTATTGTTATTGTTATGCAGTTAAACTGTTTCAATCCTTATTGAGTATGCATTAAGTATAACGATTATTAGTTAAATTAGTCTATTACTAATTATTAAGCTTATAAACATATTACACTTTATTTAAATTAGTTTGCTTATATTAATTTAGTAGGTGAGCATAATAACTATTAAATGGTATGAGTGTTGCAAAATAAAAACCTGTAAATGCAAATTTAGGCTTTCATCTAGAAATAGACAAATTACATAATTATATAGAAATTGTAAAGTTGCAAAGCATATAATTTCAAATAAACCTTAACCTGTGCTTCTGACATAGGCATTTTCTAATATTAATATAAATGTGAACCTTATATCAATAAATTATAAATAAGAAATCATTAAAATTAAAATTTGTGTTCACACTATATGAACATAAAATGCAAAAACATTGATTTTATTAAATAATCTATGTTCACTATGAATACTGTGAACTTGTAATTTCCAACACTAGGGTTGACAACTTATTTACTTTACTAAGTTATCACACTCTTTTTGTACAAATCTAAATTTTTATAAATAAATTACAAAAGTGTTATTAATAAAAATTATCATCATCTCTAGTTGGCTTGCAGATATGATATCTAGTATAGAACTTATAGCAATGTATAAACAAACTACTTAAATTAGACACCAAAAATGCATATATAGTTAGATATAATCTTCAATGTAAGGAAGCCTCTAAAGACAACTTGTGTCCTATATATATGAATAAAAATATCATATTCCAAAGATAAGAACTTTAATATTAAAAAAAATAAAAAATAAAAAATAAACTTTATAAAGATAAAAATAATTTAATAGTTAATCTTAATTGTAAATATTAGTTTTAATTATAACAAAACAAAATTAATAAGATGTAGCAACTTAGTAAAGTAAATAAGTTGTTAACCTCTCAAGTAATCAATTAGATGTTTAAATTCTATTAATAACAAAACTTTAGATAATCATCTATATAATATTTATATTATAACAACTGTTTTTAACAATTAAATTAGAATATCTGCAATAGTAATTATATTAACATGACTGACAGATTATGAGAAATTTGTTTAACTAATAATTCAAAAAAATACAAACTGATATTAAGTAATACAAACTTTAGATAAGTTCTTGTAGCTATATAAATTTGTTAAAATTAGAAAACAAGAAGTCTATTTGAGAAGACCTAAGTAAAAAAATAGTATAAATCTTTAACAGTGCTATTATAAAGACTAGCTCAAGAAAACAAATACTAAGATTATATTGTGAAGTAAATACTGAAGTTTAAGTGAACTCTATAAGAGCATAATAGTTAAATAATATAACTCTGATCACAAGTGTTAGTTCTACTATAGTAATATCTAAATCAGTTATAAAAATGAATACAGAAGATTCTGAAAAGTTTATTTCAAAAATAAAATAATTCTAAAATTGAGAAAATGATCTAGACTTGACCTAGTAATGTTAACACAAGTGCAGGTTTAAAGGATTTAAAATAAAACACTTAAGCAGAGGTGTTAGATATAACAATTAATAGAAGACCTTTGAACAGACTTTTTAAATAAACAATATAGAAAAGTTATATATGTAACCAATTGTACACTCTTTCTGTAGTGGTTTATAGAATCATATTATCAAAAAGTTATTAACAAAAGTCAAAAGACTAAAGGAATTACTTTAATAATAATAAAAAAAAACCCCCTCAAATCAACTACAAATAAAAATACAAAAAGCTTTGAAAAATTTATCTTGAGAATAAATTAATTCTAAATTAAGACAAGAATTCAGGTTCTGAGTAATTTGATAAAGTTAATACAAAAATTACAAGATTAGATTTAAAATAAAATATTTAAGCAGAGGTGTTAGATATGACAATTGGTAAGAAACTTTTAAATTAACTTATATAAATAATATAGAAAAATTATACATGTAACCAGTTGTACATTCTTTCTATAATAATTCTATATAAACATGTTTTAACAAAAATGTTAATAAAATCAAAGACCAAAAAAGTCACCGTAATATCAAAAAAAAAAATTTTTTTAAAGATCTTTTTTTGATCCTATTAATTGCAAAACCTTTATATTACCTATGATGAAACTTAGCAATAATTAATTTAAAAACTTTATTTTTTAAAAACTTATTGTAATTTTTTTTATTTAATGAATTTAAAAATATATAATATTTTTTATATATGTAAAATTTTAACTAAAACTTTTATGTTTTGGTTTCTTGCTATTGAACAATTTTAAAAATTGATTTTAAAATATTTTTTATTAATTGATTTTGAACAATCAAAATACAAAAATTTCAAAAACATTAAATTTTAATATAAAATTTTGAAAATAAAACAAATCATGTTTTTTGTCTTTAGATGTTCTGCACCGTAGAATCCTAAAAACAAACCCCAATTCTAATTTTTTATATATATTTTAGAACACTTTTTTTTAAACCATATCTATTAAGTAAAAATCCAAATTAAATATTAAAGCAAAATGTTGAAAAAAGAACCAAAACAACGGTAGTAAAAAGAAAACCGTGCTACTAGAAAGAATGAGCGAATCTACCAGATATAGTTGCAGGTGAAATTCATTTTCTATAAATTAAATCTAAAACAACTATTATATTTGATTTAGCTTAGTTTAAATTAATTTTTAATACTAAAAGACTAATTTTACTAATTTCACCATCAACTAATTTCAATAATTTCAGCAAAAACCTTTTATTAAGAATAATAATTTCACCACACCTATACTACTAGCTGTAACTCTTCGATCATCACTTCCGTGAAAAAACGTGTTCAAGCCCGCATCACTGCTGGAGGAAATACTAGCAATTGAATTTTTATGTGTATGTTTACTATCCAAACATGTTTCATAAAAAAATTTCATTGAAAGTTATATGTAAAAAAATTTCTTATAATAAAAAAAACTTTACACCATTACTTCTCGTGAGAGTTGTACGATAGAAGCTTCATACTGTAGGTAGATAACAATTTAATAGATTATAATTATTAAACTGTAAAAATTGATTTTCATTACTCTCAATTTATTGTAAACATTTACATACAAGTATTTTCAATAATTAAAGTCCGTTTACGTTTAAAAATAGAAACTAGTTAACTTATTTCTTGTTTGCAAGACCTGCCCGAAAATTAATAATGTCACCATCTTCTACAACATAATCCTTTCCTTTTTGCAAATATTTTCCAGCTGCTTTGACTGCCGATTCAGAACCAAGTTCTTTTAAATCTTCATATCGCATGACTTCAGCGAGAATGAAACTTTTTTCAAAATCTTGATGAATCCTGGATTGTTTCAAAAAATATGATTAATATTAGTCTGAAAAAAATCTTTCTAAAAGAATTAACGAATAATCAAGTTACTTACACTCCAGCAGCCTGTGGAGCCTTAGTTTGTTTCTGAAATAAAACATGAATAAAAATGAAAATATTAATATTATTTTTCTTATTTCTAGTTTAAAGATATGGGCTGTCATCAATAGAAATCAAGCAGATTGACGGTTCAAAAAAAATTATTGCTTTAACTTTCGCTGCTCATATCTCGAAGTTATTCTTATTCTTGAACAGTCAAAAGAAAGCTTAAAATATAAGCTTTCTTTTGACCATCCAATCATTAGAATAGTTTCGAAATTCATTGAGATATGATCAGCGAAAGTTAAAGCACCAAATTTTTTTTTAAAAATGTCAATGCCTTGATTTCTATTGACGACAGCCTATATAAACATACCCTAATTGTCCAGGCTTTAACTTCATCTGATCCACAAGTGAAAAAATATATTAATTGAAGCACTTGATATCCCGTAATGATAATACGTGGTAGTGCAGATTGGGTCTCTAAGCTTTTTAGCAATGCTTCTCTCTCTTCGTTGGTTTCTAGAGTTGAAAGACGATATTCAAGGGCTGCACTCATAGGTAGTAATAAGTCTCCTGGGTTGTTTTCATCAATCCATGCTTTGATCTTTGCTAACCTAACATAAAGGTATCCATTTAACTAATATTACATTTATAAATAGATAATTATCTTATCACATTACCATTTATTTTTTTTGCGAATATAATCTTTCTCGCTTAAGTTAACTAAATAAATTACTGACTTTGCAGTAAGCAATTGTAAAGTATTGATAACTGCAACCTATCATTATAATTATTTATAAACAAAAAATCGAATTTCGACAACAAACATACCATAATAATAATGTCTTTATAAAACACTTACTTCCTTATTATTCCAATCACCTTTTCTGACATCCTTCTTTTCCTCTTTTACCAAATTAAGCACCTTTTGTATAATGTCCTATAAAACCATATTTATCAAATTAAAATTTAATATTAAACATAATTATGCCAAATAATTTGGTTCATACAAACCAATTCTTCCTTTTTTGCCTTGTCTGTTACACTGCCACCTTTCCCTGCGCGAGCCGTTACCTTTTCCAGACTTTCAATCTTTTTAGTGAGAAATTCTTCATCTTTAAGACGAAGTTCATGATGAATAATTTCTAAATCTCTTATAGGATCAAGTTCTCCTTCAACATGAGTAACATCCTCTTCAGAAAATGCTCCTAATTTCCATCAAGTTGATATTAACTGATTAAAGATAAAAAAAAATGAAGATTTTTGTTTTCCTTATTATAGATATGATAAAACTTAAAGGATACGGACAACGTGAAAAATAGCATCTACGGCCTGAATATGACTGAGAAAGTTGTTACCCAATCCTTCGCCAGAAGCTGCACCTCTAACTAACCCTGCAATATCAATAACAGTAAGATAAGCCGGTACTTTGGATGCTGGGTTATAGACTTCACATAGCCAATCAAACCGAGCGTCTGGTACTGCCACTCTTGATTTTTCTGGATCTAATAGATATAATTATTTAATTTTTGTGCTTATCATTAAAAGCCTCTAGTTAATTAAAATGTATTACCAATTGTACAGAAAGGATAATTTTCCGCAGCCACTGCACTTTTTGTAATTGCATTAAAAAACGTAGATTTGCTGTTGTATAAAAAGATCGACTCTTTTAATCAGAGGTAAAAAGCATTGAAAAGTGAGCAATTTCTACTTCAAAACCTACCCAACATTTGGCATGCCCACAATGCCAATTTTTAAATTGTTACCCGGCCTTCCTAATAAAATTTTTTCTTCTTTAACTGCTTTTTTCGGTGGCATTTTCCTGAAAGGTTGAGTGTTATGAAATTTACGTGTTTGATATTTTATTGCGAAGCCGCAACGAACAAGTATAAACCGCAGTGTAAGCATTTATAAATTGAGATCCAAAAAATCTTGTGCAACCTACTATCGATCATCATTATCTATCTTAATTCTTTTCGCGAAGTTAACTTACTCTAAGAAAAATTCTTAGTCGATACAAATGCTTCGGTCCAGAACTCTTTCTTTTTTCAAGTCCTTAGGCTTATCCAACGTACATTTCTGACATGAAATTTGAAATCAATAATCTTATAGTATGTTTTACTGTGGCATTTATATAATAATTCGCGTCTTTGTATTTACTTTTAAAGTCTATAGGTCTTCGTTCCTTTGCCTCTTCAGCTTCTTCTATAACTGAGACCTTTCACGCACCACCTAATGCCAATGTAAGGTGAACGTTTCTTTACAAATCCTAGGTATTTCCATTTTACTGAATTCCTTTTCTATTAATAAAAGGGTAATTACCTAGTGACACTTATTCCTGGTGACGGCATTGGGCCCGAAATATCGGAATCTGTAAAGCGGATATACAGTGCTGCTGAAGTAGGTCATATTTTAGCACAGAATAATTTAAATCATTTGTCCTATATTTATAATATTTAATTTCAGGTACCTATCGAATGGGAGGCAGTAAATGTCACACCTGTAATTAAGAAGGGCAAGACGGTAATCCCTGATGAAGCATTGAATTCTGTAAAGAAAAATACGGTAGCATTAAAAGGTAATACTATCTTGTGAGCGGTAAAACTGATTTGTCGTCCATTTCAAGCCACTTAATTTGTCCATATTGTATTTGTATCGTATTTATATGTATCTATAGGTCCTTTAGCTACACCTATTGGGAAAGGTCATGTTTCCCTTAATCTTACTCTTCGTCGTACATTTAATCTTTTTGCGAATGTTCGTCCATGTAAATCTGTCGTCGGCTATAAAACGCCGTATGATGATGTTAATACGGTATTGATTCGGGAAAATACAGAGGGTGAATATTCTGGAATTGAGCATACAGTAGGCAGAAAAAATTTTATTATGTATTTAACAAACTTTTAAACCTTGATAAAACAATTTTTTTTGATATTTTAGGTCGTCGACGGTGTCGTTCAATCAATCAAATTAATTACTAAAGATGCATCCGAACGATGTGCTCGTTACGCCTTTACATATTCAAAAGATATTGGTCGTAATCGTGTCACTGCCATACACAAAGCTAATATCATGTAAATTTATTCGTTCAAAAATTATCAAACAATTACTGACCGAAGTGTAGTATAGTCATAAATTAATATTCAATATAATAATGCATATTATAATAGGAAATTATCGGATGGCTTGTTTTTGGATGTTTGTCAAGAAGTAGCAAAAGACTTTCCAGACATCAAGTTCGAAGATATGTTATTGGACCGTGCGTGTCTCCATGTAAGTAACAATAAAGTAAAATATATTTGGATAACGTAAACAATTGTTAAAAAATAAGTGTTTGCCAAATTCAGATAGTCCAAGATCCTGCCCGCTTTTCTGACACAGTGATGGTTATGCCTAATCTTTATGGTGATATCTTATCAGATATGTGTGCTGGATTAATTGGTGGACTGGGGCTGACTCCTTCAGGAAATATTGGCAAAGATGCTTCTATTTTTGAGGCTGTTCATGGAACGGCGCCTGATATCGCAGGAAAAGGTAGGCGGAAAATCTTCTATGAATGCTTGGTATTTGCATTTTAAATTTTATTTATATTTAAAAACGCGAATTCGATCTGTATTCTTAGACCTCGCAAATCCCACGGCCCTCCTCCTCTCTTCAATAATGATGCTTCGTCACATGCGTCTATATACATACGCTGATAGAATTGAAACGGCTGTCCTCAGCACTATTGCTGAAGGCAAGTGCCTTACGCGTGATCTTGGTGGCTCCGCCACAAATACTGAATTCACCAACCATATCATCACTAAATTGAAGTAGAATGCAGATATTTTAAACCTTATATTTTATTTAATGCTAACTTCTAAATCGGTAACACGAGTTTTATCGTTATATATTTTATTTAATAAACCTGAGATATACAGGAAATAATTAAACAATGTGTACTTTTACGATTATTTAAATATGTGTGCTACCGGAGCTTGACGTCAAAAAAAAGCGTAATTTTATCTGGCCCTTTAGACTATTCATGTAAGGCGGTGCATTGTGTTCGAACGCTAATTGAATAATTGAAGCTCGTTAAAGATAAAGATTCAGCCAAATTCGTTGTACAAAATTAAATCATGATCTCAATAAATTGACCTAGCTACCCAATTTTTCTTGTATAATGGCACGATCTTTTGTGAGAAATCACCGATCATATGAGACCACCTATTTTGAATCTCCAGCCAATACAATTCTTGCATATCATCATCAACCATTAAAAGTTCGTTCTCTGTGTGAAAATACCGTGACTTCCTATCAAAATTTCTTTCGCAAACTTTTATCATTAAAAATGGTGAGTGTCATTTACCTTTTCAGTAATATATATATTTTTTTCAATATAATTTATACTAGTTGGCTTTAATAGGGTGATCAACTGGAATGTGCATTAGATCTTATGAGACGACTTCCTCCTCAAAACACCGAGGAAAACCTTTCACAACTCATATCTCTCATTCCTTCTCTTCATGAGGACTTGGTTAATGCTGTTGACCAACCACTTAAAGTTGCGACATGTCCAATAACGAAAAAGGAATATTTACAGTCAACCTTTAACAGGGATGGTGATTCTTTTCGGTACGTAAGCATTAAGAAATTATGAAGGACAATAATACGCGTTTTGCTTGAAATATATCTCCAATTATTGCAATTATAATTATTACAATTTAAATTCTTCGTTACATTTGTAGATCTCCTTGGTCAAATGAATACGATCCACCCATGAACGATGGTATGGTCCCGTCCCAAAAAACACGAAAATTGGAGGTTGCAGCAAACGACGCTTTTAATACATATCGAGAAATGTAACTTCCTCCACAAATATCATTTATGCGTTTTTGATTAATCCTTTATTTAATATCTTTATTTCTTTGTACATTAGGTATTACGAGGGTGGTCATTCTGCAGTTTACTTTTGGGATGACCCAAACCAGGATGGATTTTCCGGATTTTCTGGCGCCGTGCTATTTAAAAAAGGTGAATAAAAAAAAGATGGCATTTGTTTTTTAGAATTACATATAATTTTACGTTTTCCCTATTAGTTGGCGATGGTATTCGTAAAATGAAGGGTGCTTGGGATTCGATTCACGTCTTCAAGGCAAATGAACGAGGTCGTAATGCTCATTATAAATTGACATCTACTGTCATGTTATATACGATTACAAGTAAACCTGAACTTGGAAATATGAACTTGTCTGGTAGTATGACGAGACAGGTGAATTTTTTATTTTCATCACTAAAATAAATTATCGTTTGTACTTACACATTTTTTTATCGATAGTTCGAGGCAGATTATCCATTCGATGAACCCAATGCTCATATTGCTAACATTGGCCGAATGGTTGAAGACATTGAACTCAAAATGCGCAATTTACTTCAGGAAGTATATTTTGGAAAAACAAAAGATATCGTTAATGATTTAAGATCAATTAATTCGCTCGCTGAATCTCAGAAACAGGCTAATATTCATAAAGAGTTGGTAGGACAATTATTGGAACGAAAATCATAAGCATTATATATCTACTTTTGTGGTTCAGTTTCAAATACATTAAAATAAGTATTTATAATAGAATAGTTCTTAAATGAATAGTATCTTGTTAGTAATTCCAGTTCATGAAAGAAACAGTCATTCATCAACGAACTCATGTTTGACCAATTTTGGTCCAGTATAATAAATAGGGAAATTCTATTTTGACCCAGGTCAAAATGACCCTCTTAGGTGCGGGCCATAATTATGTTAATGCCGACTGAGTTTTTCTATTAAAAAACCTTGACCGGCATCAACGTAATTCTGGCCCGCACTAACCCTAAAATTTTGCTAAGGGTTATTTTGACCCAGGTCAAAATAGAATTTTCCTAATAAATATATTAACAATTATTAAAATACATGAAAATCAATTATCGTGAATAGCGATGTTTTGGTTTTCTATCATTTACAAAAGTATACGTGTTGGTAAGGAATGAATCCCATAAAGGATAAAGTGGACAAACGAAAGTAAAAAGGGCAATACCTGGTAGAGGCCAGTATTGGATCCCGCAGCCGGGCCGGGCCTGAAACAAAATTTTATAATTGCGGCCGGGCCGGGCCGAAAAATTTGCAAAATTATATAAGAAATTTTGCGGGCCGGGCTGAAGAAAAAATTTAATATATGCGGGCCGGGCCGGGAACAAAAATAGGCAATTTGCAGGTCCTTACAGCTGTTTTCATAAATTCTGAAACACCTGATAAAAATCGCCGAATGATTTTTCGGCCGATCCGGTTAAGTAAATGATTTCGGCATGATCGGTATTACTGTAGAGATGTGCAAAGTAATTTAATACGTAACGACCTATGACTTATCCCTTACTTAATATAAATAATTATTACATTCAATTATCTATTACGTGTACATATAAAACACATGATAAAAGTCGGAGACAGGTGATCAAAATTGAGATTGAACGAAAAGATATTACTAATAATAAAATTATTGTAAAATTACTTAATAATACCTATTGCAGAGTATTAAGTATTATTAAGTAATAATATGTAACTGACTTTGCCCATCTCTAATCGGTATACAAACAATATAAGATCAGTAAATAAAAAAAATAATTGCTCTACAAATAATTCTATCTTTATAAATGTCGACACAATCAACAGTATTAAGTTTTCGTTTGAATACTTGCCCAATATGTTTGGTGTGCTTAATTTGTGCAAAAATTTATGGAAAAAGCTGTTCTTGTCAACCAATAAATCTTAACAAGAAATACAAAAAGGGCACCGGATATAAAATCGACTTTTATATTAAATGTATTACGCGAATAGGTGCTAATCTTAAAAAAGTCAAATACGATCAAGAATTCATTGACTGGTTTAAAAATGTAACTCAAGTCGAAATTCCAAAAGGTCAAGATTTAATTAATATTTGTCGAAAGTGTATTAAGGATTACGATCGACAAAATCAAGGTATATACTGTATATCGATATTTATTATTTTTGTAGCACATAAAATTTTACAGTATCTAACATATATTATGTAATTATTAAAAAGAAAACCAGGACGAATTAGATGAAAATGTCGAAACGGTTGATTTAACAATTAAAGATTGTTTGCCGTCTATAACAAATACTTTGGAATTACCAAACTTGTCTGAAGTGATCGTAACTGATTCAGGGATTAATAATATCAACGAACTTGAATTGGAAATTATTAATATAAAAGAGCTTGAATCAGGAATTAGTAATATAAAAGAACCTATTACAAGTAAGATATAGAGTATTTAAGATGCTTATTTAATATATTTTAAATTAACTAATTTATAATTTAATTTTAGCATTTATTACCTTAGTATGTTATGATCGGTTTGAAAAACTACATAAAAAATTGGATGGCGCATTAGAAATTCCGTATGTTCTTGATAATATCAAAAACTTTGGAAATATTGAGGAGGAAATTTTATCCCATGCACTTCCGGAGCATTGGGGAAAAATTGAATTAGGTCATATCTGCTATCAAGTGTCAAATACTTCTAAGGCTGATCATTATGATTTAAAAGCCAATGGAGCTGTTAATGCTTTTGTAGCTGGTGTACAATGTAAAAAAAATGTTCAACTGTGTGTTTATCAAGAAAGTACTGAATTTAACAGACCAAATAAAAGAATTCGTGTAAGTGTCTATATTTTTATTTATTAAAATATAATTATTTAAATTTAAATATTATTTATTTGTTAGACGCTTGAAACTGAGTCAGAGACAATCAGTACATTAAATATTATTAAAAAAAGAATTTATGAAAATCTCCCATCGTGTGATACACATATTCAAGGATGTTTGATTTCTGAAGATGGTCGACATTTGAAATTAGATGGTGATATTGTAACACTATGGGCTCGTGCAATTGTAATAATTTTATTAATTATATGATATATATATATTATATATTTAATATAAAATTAATTTTTTTAAAAATTAAGATTACTAAAATGCCAGGTGTTGATGAAACAACACTGCCAAATATCCCATCTTTTGATAAATCAAAATATCGATATCCAATATCTAAACGGCCTTTGAATAATAATTTTACATTAAATGAAGGTATATTAGTATTATATTTTTTTATTTTTTTAGAGTAAAACTTGCAATGGGGTAGTTATATATGTATTACTTTAATTTTAATTAAATATAAATTATATCAAAAACAACTTTAAAAAATTAACTCAGATTTTATATAATTTATAGACAATTCTACCATTACAAATGATTCTACTTTAATATCTTGTACTAATTTTAATTTAGCAACAACTACATCAATACTTCATTCAGTGACTATTCATACCAAAAAAAAATCTTCATTCAAATCAAACATTCATGTTACTCAAGATATGACTTTCCAAAATCTACTTACTTATATATTTCCAAAAGGTCCACCTACTGGAAAATGATTTATTCTATTGCAATCTGGCATCCTACTCAAATTCCAGACCTTCCAAACATTGCTATTCCTACTCAACCAATTCCTGTAATTTTTGAACCTTGT